TCCTTCCCAGCCCTAAAATGGGAGATTAAGTTCATCCTGTGTACCTACATGAGCAATAACCAAAACGGGATATTTAATCCCAGTTATTCCCATAAAATAGAATTAAAGTCCATTAACTGCCCATTTGTTTCTCAAATCCCATTGAGGTGAATTCTGACAGGCACAAAGAATTCCAGACAGTTAATATCATCTGAGAAAGGAAAAACAAAATAACTTTTGGAACTTAACTTAAACACATTCTATGGTTCATTTAGTCTCCATAAAAAGGGCTGGTTTGGCAGCCTTGGGGAATGAGCTATTTATCCAAAGAATACGTATTGAGTAGTACAGACAGCAATTATTCTGGCTTCCCCATGTTGTCCTTCCAATATGCCTCAACCTGGACCTAGAGGGGCCACCTCTAATGATCAGAGGTAGGTCTGTTTCCTCTCTGAAGAAGCTATCAGTGGGGGTATCAATTAGCATTAAATGTAGTACAGTACTAGTTACTGTAAAAGATCCTTTTCCAGAGGAAAATTTATAGTTACACAGCTCATTTCCTATAGGCCACTAGCCCTCAGATGAGTTAGCTAAAAGACATCCTGAATCAGAACAAAAACAAAAACATTGAAAATATTGCATGTAAGTGAAATTTGTGGGAAGGGAGAATCATTTTAGCGCAATCATTCCAAGTCTGACTTTATTTTATTATTACAGTGTAATCACATAAAATAAATTCCAAAATGCTTTTCATAAAAGAAATAACAAAACAAAATCTCATCAAAATTGACGCATTCCCACAAAGTTTCAATTTCAACAAAACCGCACTTTCTGATGGGGAAATGTTTCCTTGAAAATTTAATCAGCTCTAGTCACTTCTGACCTGGGTCAGATCTGAAGAACCACAATGACATTTATATATCATAATACTTCCACGGGTAGCAACTGTTGCTCATATACCTTCTTTATCATTTTGTTGGATAGAGAAAGAATCAATTTTTGTTATTATTTTGGGAGCTACCCAGGTGTTTCCTCTTTGCTGCTTTGTGAATAGGCCCTTCACAGAAGTCACTGAGATGTTCTTAAGCTTTTACATACGTACACCCACTGCTTAGGAAACTCCACTATAATGTATTCTTTAAGCCTACCTGCTTGTTTGTATTATCTACATGTTTATGTATCTCTGTCATTAAAGAGCTGAGAGTTGACATCCACTGTTTTGTCTGTGCATGTTTAATGCTATCTTGAATAGATAGGCTGAGATGATCTCACTATTTTGCATTTATCCCCCTATTATTTATGTTTGATACATAACAGAAGATGGCTTGTGTGAATGTGTAGTAAATTCTCCTCATTGTTTTACAGCCTTGCTGGGAAGAGCTGTTAGAGCAAATTCACAATGGGCCCAACATTTCCATCAAGCAAAATAGTATTCGCAACACCTGACAAATTGTGACACCATCTTCAGAATGATTGAATCAGAACAATGCTCCAGCTGCAACAATCAGCTGGAAGAGGGGTGGAAGATGATACTCAATCAGACAAGGGCATAAACAAGTCCCTGGTGTGGGGGAGGGACACAGCCAAATCAAGGGCCTTTCTGTAGGGACTTTTTAGTTCAGGGCTACACGTTTCTGTAGCAGTGTCAGCATGCAAGAAGGACTAGAATTCTGACACACAGTTGTATGATCCTTCTGAGACAGCAGTGTGCTTGTGCTATTGGACAAGAGTTAACTTCTTCTTCCCCACTTCATCTCAGGGGTGGATTAGCAGAAAACGGAGGCCTTGAGCTTCTAGGGTGGCGCGTGCGCACACGCGCACACACACACACACACACACACACACACACACACTTTTCTAAGCTTAAAAGAGGTGCTGACAGAAATCATTATTTATGGTACCTGTTCACAGTTGGTACCATCTTTTCTGCACCTCAATCTCCTCCCAAATATTCCACTGACCCACTGTTGCTTATGTTTAAAAGTCTCAGAGAGGCAGCTGTGTTAGCATCTGTAACTAAAAAAAAAACTGAAAAAACAACAATGGTCCTGTAGCACCTTCCAAGATGTTGCTTGTGTTGGCTCTCTCAGAAGGTAAGGTCTGGGATTCCAAAATTAACTGGCTGAAAATGCCTGAAAGTCTGTTCAGGGCCACAATGATGCCTCCCTGTTGGTACATTTCTCGATGGCCCGACATTAGGCACATCTCCCCTTGCACCCTGTGTCCTGTAAGAGACACGGATGCAGGGTTTTCATTCAGAGAGGTGTACAGCTGTGACAAGTGGCAAAACAAAAGCACTGGTAACAGAAGGGCAACACCATTGGGTGGCTGCTTAACAATCTACATGAAAGGAGCTGGACTCAAGTCAGTCCTTAGCAAACGAAATTCACTGCTAAAAAGATGGCACACTCTTGGCTCAGGAGAGAGAGAGCGGTCAATCGCTGAATAAAAATTAAACTGTCCCCTCTCTCTACTAACTTGGGACTGAGGCACACTTAGTGCCTGTTGGAAGGTTACATGGCTCCTGTCTGTGGTGCTCCTTTCTTATGAATAAGCAGAGGCTGTCAGCTTCTAAGGTGTACCAACCCCAGCATGCTTCAGAAGCACAAAACTCACTTTTTTCTAAAAACGTTATGTTACCATTCAGCAAAGGAGAAAGACGCACAAAACCCCAAACACGCCAATGACAAGAATATTTAGATAACACCCGTTCCTTCATTTCCTTCAAAAGCTCCACATCTAGAATGCAATGGCAGAGGAGAGGGTAAAAGCAAGAGGGGGAAGAAAGGAGCCAGTACTTAGGGCTTCACTAGGTACCGGTTACTTTTTTTCTGCATCCTGTTTTTATGGCTGCATTAGTTGAATTCAATACAACGTCAGATTTTAACACTGAGCACAAAACCTCCCTCAGAAAGGAGGGAATAGCAAAGCTAAGCAATCCTATCACAATCCTATCAAATCAGGTGACAGAATCATATTTGACTATCTCCCTCTTCCATTCGTGGGAAGGAGGAGAAAGAACAGTCCCAGTGAGAGAGAACAGTGGAGGTTTTTCCCTAAACTTTATTGCTACCTGATCTCTGGCATCTTTCCTAGATTTGAGATGAGAAATTGACATGAATTGCTGGGAGCCTAATGCACCACTTGGAAGTGAATTGACTGAGCCTTGTTTATATGGATGGCCATACTGTCAAAAGAAAAACAGCTGAACACTGCACTAGTAATCTGTCCTGGCTACAAGGAACAATCAGCAAACTCATCTGAGGTCTCTGTCTAAAAATGTGTAGGGCACAGGATAATTACAAAGGAATAGAAACTGATTTTTTTTAAAAAAGAAAAAAGTCATGCATGAGTTCTGTGAAACAGACATCTTAGCTGGCAAGCACACATCTGGGATCACTTGTGTGGAACACTGGGCAACCCAGGGGCATGACACAAGAAGCTGTTTCCCACTGGAAACCATGCACCCCAGCCCGATGGAATCGAACTGGGAAGCAGAGGTGCATCTCTTGGTTAGTGTCACTGGTGATGCCAGTCTTCCCAAAGGGGAAAAACAAGGGCAAGGCCACGGACTTTGTCATGAGCCAACATAGCTGAGCCCACTAGTTAGTATTGCATGGCAGGGGCACAGACAGTCTCCACAGGCCCCTGGACAAGGTGTGGGGGGGCAGCTCTGCACTCTCAGAAGAAGCAGAGCCTCAGGCAGAGGGAGCATGGCCAGGGCAACAAGCCCTGAGTGCTACCCGGAGTTCACCACACTGGCCCCCCAGGCAGCCCTCAGGAGTGCACTGCACCCCATTCATCCCCACTCCTTAGTGCTTTCTGGAGCACACACCATGGCACTTCAACAGTGATTTAAAGGGCCCAGGACTCTGACCACTACCACAGCCGCAGTAACAGCAGCCAGGGCTGGCCCAAGCCATTTTGGTGCCCCGGGCCTGGGCACATGGTGCCGCCCCTGGGCGCACAGCGCATGCACGGACCCACCCCTGGGGCTCAGGCTCACCCCCCTAGGGAGCACGGGTCTGCCCCCAGGGCTCACGGCGCATGTGCTGCCCAGCCCACCCTGGTCACCTCGCCTGGCCATGCAGGGCCCCACGACCGTGGGGGGAGGGGCGCTGCTGGCCGACGCCACGGGGATGAGGGGGGGCTGGCGCCGCGGGAGCTGGGTGCGTGACACCTGGTGGCAGCTATAAGGGATGCTGCGTGCCCCTTACAGCTGCCATCAGGCGCCTCCCATCGGTGGGCGCCCCGGGCATCTGCCCGGCACACCCACCCCTTAGTCCGGCCCTGACAGCAGCGATAGTCAAGAGCTCTGGGCCCCTCTGAATCAGCAGGCTCCAGGGCAATTACCCCCTTTTGCACCTGCCCCTGTCAGCTGGTGCATGGCTGTATCCTTTCCAAACGGTGGTGGAACTGCCCCCACAGTATATATTCCCCTTCAGAGCCAGCCACAATTCCTCCAGCCATCCTTGCAGTGTCCCCACATGCTTCTCTAATGTGAACTTAAAACTACAGTCTATTCCATAGCATGCAACCGTTTCCTCCAGCTTTGAACTCAGCCACTTGGGAGACAGGCTAGCTCAGGGAATTGATAGTGAGGGAAGAGGACTTTCATCTCTAAGACATTGGCTTGATTGCAGAACAAACTAACAGTGTCTGAAAATGATCAGTTAGCAGCTTTGTAAAATGAATGATTGGTCTTAGTCCAAATTCTAATGGACCGAATATTACAGCTGACACCATCTCCTAACCCCCACACCAGTGTAGTCAGTTTTTGGTCTCTCTTGCTTAGAAATAGAAACCGGGTAGCCCTCGATCTGCTGCTGACAATGGTGCAGGTGTAGCACTGTCAGCCCCTGGTTATCGGCAGGCAGGATCAAACCTGGAGCCTCTGGAGCTAATTGCATGAGCCTCTGCAGCATGAGCTAAAAGCCACATGGCTCTTAGCTCAGGCTTTAGAACACACTCATTGTTCTCTCTGAGTGGTCTCCGTGCCACTAGATGGAACAGAACACCACACCCACAAGGTGTGCGGGTTACACACATTGCACAGAGTGCATACCATTGGCAATGGTGCCAAGCCATCAATGCTGGACCCTCCTGGTGCAAGAGCTGGCCCCAAAGAAGTGTCAAGGAGAAGCAGCTCTGGCAGCCTCCTGGCCACTCCCATTTGACCCCTGTGGTCCCTCCATCAAAAGGTGGGGGAGCCCCTTTGGGACCAAATTTGAGCAGGCAGTGGGGCAGCCAGTACTGCTCCTCCTTGCCACAGCTAAGGTAACAGTTTCAACACCAGTCATCCCCTCTCCCCAGGGGCCTGCCTGGCCTCTCCCCACTTCCAGCAGGACTTAGTGAATGCTTCAAGACCCCTGCTACAAGTAAGGAGAGCTGTGGAGTGCCTTCATGGGGGATCCCTCTGAAAAAGGGCATCAGGGAGGCCTGCCGCATGCCGAATGAAAAATTTCTGGGGGCTCCCTGACTGGTCATAGGAAGGAATGACGAGTCATCTTGGCAATATGATAACCTATATCACAGAAGCATGAAATGAAAGCTATCATGTCAGTCTGAAAGGCAGTAGCTGAACCAGATCTCCAGGGCCAAAAATAGCCCATCAAGGCTCCCAATAGCACCAAACAATAATGAGACTAATGTTCAAATTGCTACTTTGTCTGGCCTGTTATTTGCTTGTAGCACAGATCCAGGTTGCAATATGACACAGGATTCTCTGCACAGATAGTTTCCAGCATTTTTCCACAACAGCTTTATAAACGAGAGAGAAAAAGGGGTGCTTTTTTGTCAAAGGGAGAGGGATAGATTTCTACCATACTGATTGGGGAAACTCCAGAATCAGGCTCTCTCACTTGTCTTTTATAAATAAGGTGCCCATACCAATTTGTGATCACTGCAACATACCCTGTCTTTTTAGGGCTTGAGGAATTGCATAACCGCAAACGTAACATATTGAGGAAGGGGGCAGCTTATGCTGAGCTTCCTGACACTAAAGTCACGGGACAGCACTGAACTCTCAAACCTATTCCAGCCACAGGAGAGGGGAAGAAGCTGGTCTCAAGCAGGTTCAACAACAAATATAGACGTTCATTATGGAATGTGAAGTGCAGTACGTGCACATGTGTGTTTTTCATCCACGTCTCCACAAACAGCTTCTATGCAACTCGGGGTACACCACACTGTGCACAGAGCATAACTCTACTGATAACCATTAGAAAGCAGCAGGAAGGACAATTGACAAATTCCAGGCAAGCAAAGCAACAAGCCAGGGAGTAAACACTGAGAACTAGAGTGCCAGGGAGAGAGGCAGAGATAGAGACAGACAGAGACAGAGGGTCTAGACAAGGAGAAGGGAGGGCACTGAGAAATCAAATGTTCTATCCTGATTGAAAATGTGCAGGAAACAAAATAAGAAATTATTCAACCCAAAGCAAAATAGATTGGCCTGGAAGAAAGAGTGACAGCTGAAGCTGCTGGCTACCTGGAGAGGCAAAATGAAAAATAAAGCATGTCTTTCCTCTGATCTGACACAAAGCCCAATGCCCCTGAAGATTCAGGCTACTTGGGCACTGCTGACTCCTTCGTCAATGTCACTTAAATCACAGAAAGGCCTTCCGCACCACAGTGGGGTGGAAAGTCCTGTGACTCTGAGTAGCAGAGATTACACAGGTACTGGACACAAAACATCCCTCCAGGTAAAGTTATCAAAGGCGCTTTGCTTCCAGTCTGTGCAGGTTTGTACATAGCCCCTACTTT